AACAGCAGTCCGATGTCTATAATGACCTCATAGACGAATGGCAGCAACGCTGGGACGAATCATCCAAGGGGCGCCATCTTTACCAATTTTTTCCATCTGTTCGCGAACGGTTGTCGAGGACATGGCTTGAGGTGGATCACTGTGTCGCTCAATTTCTTACGGGTCATGGTAACTTTAAGAGCAAGTTGTATTCATTTAAATTAGTCGAGTCACCATTGTGTCAATGCTCAACACCTAACTCTCATTATGAACAGTCTGCTCATCATATCCTCTGGGAATGTAGTCTTTGGTATAATGAACGTAATATAATGCTGAATAGCTTGCAGGTGACATCTGGGGCGGTATACTATGGGGATCTTGTGTCAACTAGGGTGAATTTCCGTGCGTTTAGGCGATTCTGCCATACATATTATAGAAATCAAATATAGCTCATGTAGGACCCGTAATATTTTGTGGCCGTGGTGCTTCCCTGTTTAAAAGGGTGTATGCCTATTTTACTTCATTTTGTCTCCCGCTTTGCTAAGGAGGGAAGTGGATTTACTGTATTTCCAACTCCTCCAATTTTCTTCTGATTAATTTCGTTGCGGGTTCCAAGACAGTTGAATTTCTTCCTGGGACTTCCCGAGTGTCATAACTCGGTGTGTTCGTGGGTCACTGCTGTGGATCCTGGTGTACAGGAGTTACAGTGGTGGGCGTGTGGGTGGGATTAGTCCCAATATCCATCCTTTCCTATCTTATGATCTCCTCGGAAGCCCTGGAATGGTTTTCCTCCTATCTTCAGGGACGACAACAGTGTGTTCGTATTGACGGCTTGTCATCGAGTTGGTGCGATCTTTTTCAACACCTTCAATGTGCGTATCATCTGTATGCAGATGACTTGCAAATTTACGCCCAATCGAGAGTTGAAGACAGCATCAGTTTTCTACATCACCCGAAGGTCGACTGGCGAAAAATGCCCTGGGCATTTAGTCCGCCTGTGTACAACTTGTGCATTAAGTTAAATAAATAAATAAATAAAATCGGTTACCAGCACCGGGCTGATATGCAAGCACCGGAGAATCAAGTGGAGTCCCACATTTCAGCTGCAACTTATGCTGCTCGGGCGGCACAAATATTTTCTTAACAGCCGCTGATGCAGTCGCGCGCCCCTCTGATTGAGCAAGGTATCACGGGTTGTCCTCTCAAGCTCCTTTGTGGATGTGGGGGGCCACACCACCAGGGTCTCCCCTCAGTTCCAGCTCGGACCGGTTCCTCTCAGACATTATAGGTATTTGCGGCCTCCTTACCAGGTGCAGCCTTTTCAAAAACGGTTATTTTCCCAACAGTGTCCCTTTTGGTTAGTGGCTCTGGTGGAGCTCTGGTGGTGATCGGGTTACATCAATTTATGGTCAGGTTAGTTTTGTGGTTACTGGGGAATCGGGTTCTTCCCCCACTATTTCGGTTACAGCTCTTGGACCAGGTACTTGGCAAACATCCACTGGTATCCCTTCCTGCAGTGGTTGGTAACTCCGCCTCGGATCTGCCTCTTGCGGATCACGAGTTTTGGAAACCGAGTTCACTTGATCTGCTTCTCGGTTCTGATATCGCAGGACAGGTGTTATGTTCGGGTTTGGTTATCGCCTTGCATCGGGATGGCCTGATTGTATTCCTATCGGTTTTGGGTTACTTAGTTTTGGGCCCAGAATTTCTTTTTATTCAGAGTAATGATCAAACAGTATTTACGGGCGTTTCTCTGGCCGAGGTTATACAAAGGTTCTGGAAAGTGGAGGAGGTTTCTTCGGCCCCTTACACGGACCCACTGGACTTGGAGTGCGAGAGTCACTATAGACAGACTCTGGTGCGTTTACTGTCAGGGCGGTTTATGGCACGGTTGCCATTCCTATCTTCACACCCACCTCTCGGTCTATCGTTTGGCTTAGCGGAGAAACGTATGTTGTCGATGGAGCGCCGCATGAAACGGGATTCTGTATTTCGGGAAAAATACGTTCAATTCATGCGCGAATATAAGGAGTTTGGACATATGCTCCCCTCGCGTTCGAATTATTCCTCGGTGATACATTACTCTATTCCTCACCACGCTGTTTTTAAGGCTGATAGTGGGAAGATACGTGTTGTATTTGACGGATTGGCTCCGTTATCCAGCGGCGTCTCTCTTAATCAATGTCTACACTCAGGTGCTAAGCTCGAAAAGAATATCTCGGATCTAATTACGGCTTTCTGTAGGCATCTCGTGGTCTTTGCCACAGATATTTGTATGATGTTCAGGCAAACTACCATACATCCGGACGATAGGCGCTACCAATTGATTCTTTGGAGAGAAAATTCATCGCAGCCACTTTTAGTCTACGAACTGGCTACAAATACTTACGGGTTAAAGTCCAGCCCTTGGATGGCCATTCGGAGCCTAATGGAGTTGGCTCATCGGGAACGAGCAACATTTCCAAGAGCGGCAGCCATCTTAGAAACAGATCTATATGTAGACGACATATGCACTGGGGCGTCGTCTGAGCACGAGGCGCTGCTACTTCGAGATGAGTTAATCGGAATTCTTGCCACGGCTGGCTATGAGTTATGAAAATGGGTCTCCAACTGCCCACGCTTATTGACTGATCTTCCGGCAGATCACAGGCAGGATCCACTCCTTTTTGTGGACTCGGATAGCCCTCACTGTACTTCCGTCTTAGGGGTGCAGTATCAACCGGTTTCGGATACTTTTTCATTTCGGTTCACGGCAGTAATGGCGAATTTCTGGACTAAGCGTTTGGTACTCTCTACGGTGGCCACAATTTTCGATCCCAACGGTTAGATCGCGCCAGTGATATTTTGTTCCAGAAAGTCACAGGCTCGTTGTGCGCCCTCTATAGGCTTAAGAACTTTCTGCCATTGAAAGCTAAGTCAATACTTGTTCAGACTCTAATATTCCCTATAATTGACTATGGTGATGTGTGCTACTTTGACCTGAATGCTGATCTACTCAATAAGCTTGTCCGCCTTCTCAATAATTGTTCGTTCGTCTTCGTTTTCAATTTACGCAAATATGATCACGTGTCTCAGCATCGCTCTCTTTTGCAGTGGCTTCCAATTCGCCAACGCAGAGAGACACGGGCATTAGCTACCTTTATTCTTTCATTCATTCTTTACTCTTTTCTCTAAGTTCTCCCTCAACTACTCAACTTCAATATTTAGGTGCAAACCACGCTAAACCCCTTACTAAGATTGTGGAATCAACACCGTGTCTGAAATTTATTTTGTCAAAGGCACCTTCGATATCGATAAAGGTGCCTAGTGTTGATTTTTTGTGCTTTAGATTGCCTTCATATGTGATACTACTCAATGTAAAGCTGATTATGTTGACTTTCCCATCGAGTATGCGTGTTGGTTATTATATACGGAGGTGACTGACTAACGCAGTGCTCTGAGTTTACCTATTTATTAGCCTTTCAAGAACCTTTAATAGGAACCCAAGGAGCACTTAGGCGTTACCGACAACAAATATGCAGCACTTATAGAACTTAGAGTTCTTTTGGAGACGTACAAGGGTGTCAAGAAAAGATTCTATATTTATAAGTGTGGCGTAAGACAGGGTGGGCTGACATCACCAACTCTGTTCAACCTGTACGTCAACGGTCTGATCGGGGAGCTCGGCCGGTCTGGAGTCGGCTGTCACATGACAAATGAACCTGTCAATAACTTGGGCTACACCGACGACATGGTTCTGCTGAGCCCGTCCGTTCAGGGTCTGCGTACATTATTAAAAATTTGTGAAAAATACTCTGCAAGTCATGGACTGACCTATAATGCGGGCAAAACGGAGGTTATGATTTTTAGACACGACAGAACTAACAGCTTTAACCCAGTAATTACTAGTGGCGGGACACCCCTTAAAACCGTAACCTCTTTCAAATATCTAGGGCACGTAATAAGGGATAACCTTAGGGACGATGATGACATGGAGAGGCAAAGGAGGTCTATTGCCGCTAAGAGTAATATGTTAGCACGCCGTTTCGCACGCTGTTTCGCAGTAGGGAGGTTAAAGTCACCCTGTTCGCGGCGTACTGTCAGTCCTTTTACACCTGTAGCTTATGGAGGAACTACACCAAGAAAACGTACAACGCATTACGAGTACAATATAATAACGCTTTTAGAGCCATGCTTAACCTGCACCTGGCGGTGTAGTGTATCTGGCATGTTCGTCGGGAACAGGATAGACGACTTCTTTGCAGTGCTACGAAAGAGGGCTGCTTCATTTATGAATAGAATCAGAAGTACTGCCAACTCAGTTGTCAAAACCGGCTGGACAACTCAGTTGGCAGTAGTTGTCGATACAGAATATGTGATTTGTAAAGGTAAATGACGTATTTTATTGTTAATTTAGATTTATTTTGTATTGTAATGAATGTGGTGATAATAATTTTATTTTATTTTTTGTTCTAATTTTAGTATTCCGACTTTATAATTGTGTAATTTTTATGATTTTATGATTTTTATGATTTTATGATTTTGTGTTTTTGCCTATGGGTTTATACCTGAAATAAATTATTATTATTATTAATTTTTATAAGGTTGATTTACTTTATTATACAGCTCAAGCTGTACTAAATCTTTATAAAAGAATCCGCGTAAACTAAAGGTGTTAAAACGGAATATTAAAACTCTACTTTAAAACTTTAAGAATTTTTGACACTTTAAGCTTATGTTTATTATTCAAGCTGCACAGAGGCTGTATTTTGTATGTGATCACTTAATTACTACAGCTTTATGTGTTAATATGGTATCACTCTATACTTGAGTCTGTATAATGGTATATGCAAACTCCTTTATAAAACTTATTATTATTGCGTAATTATACACCCTTGTAAGTGTTAGTTTTATGACTTCTGACAAATATGATGTTAAAACACTATAACAATAAATTAATTCTATAGTACAGCTTTAGTCTGTTTTATTGTCAGTCATCTATCTTTGCAATACTAAATAAACGTGTAATTCTGGATAAAAATATGTGTAAAAAAGGAAAAAGGTCCGGTGGAGTCAAAAGGAAGATTAAAAGAGAATATAAAAATATAACAAATTACCAACCAAATGAAAATAGTGATACTGAGTCGTCATTTATAGAGAATGAAAAGAATGTAGTCATGAATCGAGCAATCTACAGTCAAGCGCCACTTCAGTCGACGTCTTACGAAGGTTCCGCAGCAAAAACGTCAAACATTGATATTGAAAGTGAAAATTTAATAAAACCTTGGGAAACTGATAATGACATATTTTCATGCAGCAGTACAAGTAAAGAAGACGAATTTTCAGAAAATTTAGTGTTCCGTCGTAAAATTAAGGAATGGGCTATAGAAAGAAATATATCTCAAAAAGCTCTTAGTGATTTCGCAACAATACTAAATTGCAGATTTCCGGGAATATTACCACGGGACGCTAGAGCAATTATAGGTACTGTCAAACAAATACATAATATCAAGACTATAGAACAAGGAGAATACTGGCATAATGGCCTCACTAAATCTCTACAGAAAGCATTGGAAAACTGGGTAGATGTTCCAAACAAAGTAAAATTAAATTTCAATTTCGACGGTCTCCCAATATTTAAAAGCTCCAATAAAGAATTTTGGCCAATTTTATGTAATATATTTGAAAGACTTGATATAGAGCCATTTGTTATTTGTATCTATTTTGGAGTTGGAAAACCAAAAGAAATTGATCAATATTTAGATGATTTTGTAAAAGAAATAGGAAATTTAATTAAAGAAGGAATTTATCTCGAAGATAGAAAAATATCAATTGAAATTAGATGTTTTACATGTGATTCTCCAGAGAGAGCTTACATTAAAGGTGGTTAAAGTATATAAAAACTTATTACAAAGTACGGATTTAGACTATTTAAAAAAATCACATAGTAGGCTTAGTGATTTTTTAATTTTCTAAGACTTACGTTTTCGCGGGAGACTATAAAGGTGATATGCACAGTTTGAAATTTACTTTTCGTTTTTACTCAATCGGTTTGTTATACTATACAAAATGTGGTTATATAAAATTATAAATGTGGCTTCATTCGTAGTTTCATTCAACCATAATTCGACTAAAATAATTCTTGTAATATTTAACTTTCAGGTGTATGTAACTTTAATGCAAAACATGGTTGCTTAAAATGTGTCACAGTAGGAGAATACTCATACTTATCACATACAGTGACATTTCCTGAAACTATTTGCCACCCTAGAACAGACCAAGAATTTCGAGAAAAAAAGTATGGGAATCACCATAAAAAAGATTCTCCTCTACTGAAGTTGCCTGTTGATATGACACAAAACTTCCCGGTAGCAGATTCTCTACACCTCGTGGATTTGGGAATAATGAAGCGGCTATTTGTTGTAACGGTAATTTTGGAAAATCTATTACCAAATGGAGTGCCAGAGATACCGAAACAGTTTCAAATTTTCTTATTAAACGCAAATTGCCATCTGAAATTCATAGGTCAGTAAGAGGATTAGACTGTCTTTCTCATTGGAAAGCATCAGAATATAGATCTTTTTTACTTTATTTGAGCATTATTATACTTCCAGACGCATTACAACACGATGCATTTTCACATTTCCTGGCATTTTTCTGTGGTATTACAATATGCTCTAGCAAAAACTATAATCATTTTTGCCATTGGCAAAAGAGCTTTTAAAATATTTTTTTGAGCATTATAAAGACTTTTATGGATCAGATTATATAACTAGCAATGTCCATAATGTAGTGCATCTCACAGATGAAGTACAAGGATTTGGTCCACTTCATACATTTAGTCCTTATCCTTTTGAAAACAAGCTGCATTTGTTAAAAAGGATGCTAAGGCATGGCAACAAACCTCTTGCTCAAGTAGCAAAAAGATTGAATGAAAATTCAGGATTAGAAATGAGCAAGAGCAGACAAAATCAGCAAATCACATATGTTGAACCCTTTTTTACTACCAATAGCAGAAAACTAAATATACTACATTTGAAAGATTTTAAAATTTCTTTGAAACCACAGAATAAATATTTTATATGTTACAATAGTGACATTTTGGAAGTGAAAAAAATAGAAACCGTTGTTAGCAGTGAAATAAAGATAATTGGCTATAAAATTACTGGCTTAATCGACATTTTTGAAGAACCAATTAAATCATCATACTTAAACATATTCAAAGCCAAATTATCTACTATCAAGCGGACAGAAACCGTAGTTAGTTCTAAAGATATAAAATCTAAATTAGTATGTACTGAACACAAAAATTACTCATACTTTATACCCCTTTTGCATACAGTTTAAATTAATTAAATTTAAGTTTAAAAGAGAAATAAAACACTTTGTAATCAAGAAAATCTGTTTTTATTTTTATTCTTTGCAAAACCCGCAGATGTTCAAAGAACTATAAACAAACACCACTGGACATAATTTGGTGTCTTATGGACAATTACAGTCACGAGATTACGTGTTTTGTATGCTAACTTATCTATAAAACACTGTCGCATGGACATACTCAAATAGTTTCTACTTACTTACTAGATAGGCAATAAAAACAGTCACATCATTTGGTGTCTTACGGACAATCACAGTCACGAGATTACGTGTTTTCTTCTTAAATGCTAACTTATCTATAAAACACTGTCGCAACGACATAATCAAATAGTTTCTTTGTTATACTTACTTACTAGGTAGATTGCCTACCTAGTAAGTAAGTATAACAAAGAAACATACATATACACACATAATTTGGTGTCTTATGGACAATCACAGTCACGAGATTACGTGTTTTCTTCTTAAAGGCTAACTTATCTATAAAACACTGTCGCATGGACATAATGAAATAGTTTCTTTGTTATACTTACTTACTAGGTAGATTGCCTACCTAGTAAGTAAGTATAACAAAGAAACATACATATACACACATAATTTGGTGTCTTAAGGACAATCACAGTCACGAGATTACGTGTTTTCTTCTTAAATGCTAACTTATATATTACACTGTTGCACGGACAATCATGGTCCTTTAAATTTTTACATATTGAGTTATTAGATAGGTAAAATCACAGTCATGAGATTACGTGTTTTGTATGCTAACTTATCTATAAAACACTGTCGCATGGACATACTCAAATAGTTTCTACTTACTTACTAGATAGGCAATAAAAACAGTCACATAATTTGGTGTCTTACGGACAATCACAGTCACGAGATTACGTGTTTTCTTCTTAAATGCTAACTTATCTATAAAACACTGACGCATGGACATAATCAAATAGTTTCTTTGTTATTCTTACTTACTAGGTAGATTGCCTACCTAGTAAGTAAGTATAACAAAGAAACATACATATACACACATAATTTGGTGTGTTAAGGACAATCACAGTCACGAGATTACGTGTTTTCTTTTTAAATGCTAACTTATATATTACACTGTTGCACGGACAATCATGGTCCTTTAAATTTTTACATATTGAGTTATTAGATAGGTAAAATCACAGTCACGAGATTACGTGTTTTTATAAATGCTAAGAGTATCCGCATAATACACACCCCACCTGCAAATTCAGTTTCTGCAATCAACACCTGTCGTTAGCCAAGTAAGATTTAAATGTAGTTTGTAAACGTAAGCACTCTTAGAAAGCTAGGTAACCAAAAAAGAAACAAGTTTTTATGATAAACTTAGATTGGGTTAAGTTAATAAAATAAAATTATTAACGATAACATTGCCCGATAAGATAAATGAAAATGTAGTTATTAAGATAGAGATTTTTTTCTGATGGGTGATCTAACAAAAGGACTCTTCCTTCTCCTCGTCTTCTTCTCTTTCCTCTGTGACATCTTCCGTGGTATTTTTTGTTTCATTTGTAGCGTCGTCGTCTGGAACAATCATGACGCTTTCAACTTGGTTGGTGGTTTGATTTGTTTGATTGGAATTTTTAAGTGTATCTTTTTTTGTTCTCCTACGTTTTGTTGATGCTCTTTCATTCTTGCTGAGTTTTCGCTTTACAGAAGTTTTAAGAACAGTTTTAAAAAAGTTTTCATTATTTTCAATGGTATAAGTTTGGTCCCAGATATGTATCAGTTCGTAGTAAAACTTAAGGACGTTTTTATAAGCCTTTAGAGGATTTTTTACGTTATCACTAGTACCTCTACTACCACCAGTCCAGGAACACTTGTATAAGAAATCACGAGTAAAAAACACATCTAATATTTTGTATGCACATGTTCCACCTCTTCCATCCGATTGTGAACATACGAAAGAGTATTGCTTTAGCAGTTTATTTTTTTGCTGCTTGTCAGTTAAAAGTGATTCCAGTTCTTCTAGCTCTTTAACTGAATCAATAGGTTTTATGACAAAAGTATAATTTTCAATCTCGTTGGATTTGCCCAGTGTCTCTATCTCTATCAAATTGCACTGATAGACTTGCCAATTTGTGTAACATTTTTTTCTGGTTGTCCATTAGAACATTTATTGTTTGTCATATTTATTTGATTGTCTAAAATCAATTTTAGGTAATTTTCAATCTGATTCACATCAGTGTTTTGCTGTATTTGTGTTGGAATTTGTGTTTCGAAATTAGTATTTTGTGTTGCCACATCAGAGTCATTTATATATTGAATAACGTATTCAGCTGCAGTTGTTGGAAGAACCGGTGTAGATGTTGTAGCTGTAGATGAAGTTAATGACTTCTCTGGTTGATTAAGTGCCTGAAATCACACATAAAATGGATTAATGATGTTTTTGTCAATCGCTATGCAAACATTTTGACTTTTAGAGAGACTGTAGTCTGCATATAGAGTTGGCCCAAAATGTTAAGAATGTAGGCGTTCTACTTTTCTACCGACAATCTGAGTGACAAATTTTTTGATTTAAAAAAAAAAGTGTATTTCTTTTATAAAATGTATTTTTAAATCATTGTCCAGTTATCGAAGATACTAACTTTTAAACTTTCGCGTTCCATGATAATTAATATTATTTAACGGGAATTAACGCGATCTCTTATTTAGGGTATTACATACCTCTGGTTTGACGCACGCCCTCCGTCGTCGACGATCGACGACGGAGGGCGTGCGCCGATGAGCCAGTCAGCCTGTGACCACGGCCGGTGCAACCTGGTCGAAACGTCAGGCAAACCAGAGGTATGTAATACCCTAAATAAGAGATCGCGTTAATTCCCGTTAAATAATATTAATTATCAGTTATCGAAGATTTCAGAAATGTATAATGCATCGAAGTTTTATTTTATATCTTTTATTTTTTTAAGTTTTATCGGAATAGTAAGAAAAAATAAACACCTCAGTCACAAAAAAAAATATTTATTAGTTATTATGTAAAATCAAATTTTCAGTTTTTCTTTCACTTTGCTTAACTGGAATACAAGCATTTATTATTATGTAACTCGATTTATAAGAATTTTTATTACAAATATATAAAAAATAACATTTAATACCACTCTCTTCGACTGCACGGATGGCGTAGTGGTTTAAGCGGTCGCCACGCCGCTTCCTACTACGCTGAGTGTTGTGGGTTCAAACCCCACATGGGACGACACTTTGTGTGATATACAAATTGTTGTTCTGAGTCTGGGTGTTCTTTGTGTCCGTTTCATGTATGTTTGTAAAGTCCCCCGCGACACAGGATTTATTCCTAATGCGGGAGTTGTCTATTAAAAAAGAAAGAAAAGAAAGAAAAAAGAAAGAACTCTGTCACATTTTTGCTCGTTAAGATAACAAACTTTGAAATATTTTGCAAATAATTGAAATAAACATAGTCGAAATTCTGTTAATACCGTATATGGTCAATATGTAATAATATAATACGTTTTTTTAGTATATATGTTTTCAATAAATAGAATCATATGCTACATTGACGTTTAGTTACAAGAGGGACAAAATTGTGACAGAGTGTGATAGAGTGGTAGATATTAATAAGCCAACATTTGAACTTAATTTTTTAACATTTTTAATGTTTTTAAAACTATAACAAAACATAATGCTTCTCTTATAATGCTACATAATATATTATTTCTTGGTAGAACCATTCTTTGGTACACGTAATTTTCTCTTTTCTCTTATTCTACTTTTCAAATACTTCTATTGGTTTATCAAATTCGTAACAAACACGCTTTCCTCTTTTGACTTCTTTAGGACTTCGAATTATTTTTATCAAGTTTTCAAACATCACATCTGATAGATCTGATTTTATTAATTTAAATATTTTTCCAGTGTCATCAACAGTTTTATAAAACATTACCTGAACATCTCCATCTTCATCCACACAACTTTTTGCTACTCCTAAGTAGGTGTACTCGACTTTGTTTTTACTGGGTACTTTTACTAACATATGTGTACCATTTTTTATTAATAATGGGTGAATGTTGTCAACAGACAGGACGTATGAAGTACCCGGTTTTATGTGCACATTTTTTTTCTGATTAACAAGAGGCTGATCATCTTCATCTTCTGAAGTAGAAATATAAACAGTCTCATAAAATCTCTTTGTAGGAGCTCTAATTATGTTGGTTATATCAGCTAGTGGTTCTTTTAAATCTGAGGTTGGGCTATCGTTAACTTCTATCTCATGTTCAGGAATTTGTAATGTTCCTTAATGGCATTTTTCAAGATACTATTTTTTTTTCTTCTTCGGCGCCTTTAATTTTATCTTCATTTTTTTTATAGTTTTGGTCATATTATGTAATAAGTTATCTTTTTATTTTTTCTTGTATTTTCGTATTTTTTTCTGAAACTCTTTTACATTGTCTTGGAGTTTCATATTTTGCCTATAAATTTTCGATCTGTCTCGTCTAACTTTTTATCTACCAATTGCTCTAGCAGTGGATGAGATTGAAGTTAGTGAACGAGATCTAGGACATAAAGTAAGTAACCTGGGGCTTGAAGGAACAGTTGTGGAAGCCGGAGAATTCATTAGAACGTTCTGCAAAGCTTTCTATTGTTCTCTTCTCTTCTTGTTTCTAACTTGCCATTTTCTTTTCACTTGTCTGTGATCTCTTGGTGTCATATCTTTGACTAGCTTTTTGCGAGTATGATATCTTTCTAAGTCTTTTCGTTTCACTTCTGCAACTTTTTTGGGGTCTTGTTTCCTTTTTTCACGACAACGTCACTGCCATTTTTAATTACCCCGATGATAATACCTTAAATGAATAAAATAATCGATAATGTAATATATAGAACACAAAAAATATTAATTAACTATTGTAAAAATCAATCAATGCAAAGTTCAAGACAAAAATTACCACTTCGTCACGAGTTATGCCACTCCGTCACAGTTTATTTTTGACAGAGGTGCCTCGTGACAGAAGTGTAAAATAATAGTGTTCGAGGATTTTAGCGTTCACAAAATTACAAATTGTTCGTAAAAGTGGGTGAATATAACAGATTTGCTGGGAAATAATAATATTACATATATAAATATTAATTACAATAAAATTTCAAAGTAGTAACTTACGTGACAGAGTGGTCGTCGAATAAACACACGCACCTCTGTTCACTTCCTGCAGGCGAGTAACTCGGCTCGCTCCCGGGTGAGGCCTCAAGGCATGAGGCCAAGGGGAAGAGGAAACCGTACTGTTGCTTAGTGTTGAAGGTCAAACAGCTAAGAAGCGTTTTTTGTTTTGCGAAATGCGTGACGGAACATAGCAAGAAAAAACATACATAGCCGGACCCAACGATAAAATATTTTTTTGTTTAATAATATGAACCTTTACGTTTATTATATTCTAATCAATTTAATGATAATATTTCAGAAGTTAAATAAATAATTTTATATTAAAGGATTCCATATGATTTTTTTAAGCGAGATCATTTTGTAACATTAGGCGGCGCAAAGAGACACATTTTATTTGTATGTAAAACACCTCTGTCACACATTTCGAATACTGTCACAATGATTTTGTAAAAAGCAAAAAAAAATAAAAACGGAATTTTAGTATTATTATAATCTCTGTATGGTCCAAAAAAATCTTGTGGAAATAAAATTTCAGAAACTGCAATTTTGGACAAAAACCGATTTTTTTTCAAGTATACTATACATATATTAAACACTCATAAAGTCACGTCTAATAGACATGCGGGGAAGGCTACCTAATAATGAAGTAACAAAATAATGCTTACCAATGGCTGGGCAAGCTAGAGTATTGTAATTACTGAAGTTAATATTACTATTTGTTGTGATTACTTCTGTCTGATTATCAAATTCGGTGTCACTATTTTGTAGCATGAGATCTAGTTCTCGTGTTGCTTCGTCGTATGATGTTAATAATTGTCTTTTGACACAGCAATGTGAAGAAGACCAATTATCTACAGGCTGCGAATATTCGTCCTTGACCAATTTATTGATATCTAAACGCTTTTTTGCCCATCTTAAAATACTATTAGACGCCCAAAAACTAGGTATAATGCACAGTCGTTTTTGGCCTTTTTCTATTGTTTCAATTATTTTGAACGGCATATTTTCCTGAAAAATATTGAAAAACATATGAAAAAAAAAATAGGCACACAACACCACACACTAAAAAAACTCCTCCTCATAGTTCTTAGTAAAATATTTTTTTAAAACGAACTACCGTTTTCTAACGCTTTGTTTTGTTTTTGACCTACCTACGAGTTTTAAGACGTGGCAAACAAAGGATCGAAAAGAACAAATAAATGCGTGCACGCTGTCCAGGCCTGGGCCTGTCGACTTTGTTCTACCAACATGAGGTAGGGCAGGTAGGTAAGCAAGAAAGAGACAAAGACATCAGAGTACATGAGAGGAATATATACATTTGTAAAATGTTGCCACCGAAAATACAATATCGTATTCTCTATAATAATGAGCTTATTAATTGGTTTTTAAAGTAAATTGCCCTTGAAAATACATTTTATATAGAATTCTGATGTGAAACAAATATATTTTTATTTATTTTTATTTTATATTAGGATCGCCAACATGATATACAGTAAGTTATATACAAAGAGAAAATAAAAAGTTAGATCTAACTGTTATCATATTTACAAGCAACCACGACATGCGTTAACTGTTACACTGAGCTTTTAAAAATAATTAACAACACTATTAATTCTAGTTAAAAAACAACACTTAACGACACTACTGCAATAATTTATCCAAAAACAATATATAAAAAATACTTAACCAATATGTAAAAAAACTTAATATGAGAAAAGACAACAAATAAACGGCATAACAAAGACAAGGCAAAAACAAGGTATAAGCTATCATTACAAGTAAACTCTTAAGCAAGCAATATAAATCTGATGTTTTTGTATTTAAGCCTCTGACATTTTGGAAATACAAATTTAATGAATAGAATTTAAAGTATAAAATTAATAAATAATTCGTTATATCTAAAATTTTAATTTTTGATATAACGAATTTATGAGTTTACTAAGGGTATCCTAGTAATGAATATAAATGTATGATGCGTTTTCATCTTTGCGCATGAATATGTTTTAAGAAATATAACATATTTAATTGATTATTATGTGATTAAAAACAATTTTATGGAATATAATGTCTGGCAACTGGCAACACTAACGTTCGCACGCCATATTGATTTTAATATTTCTTAAGAAAAATGTCTGCCGGCGCTTGCACATCGGTTTATCTTGTACTTGTTTATTTGTAATAAATAAGCTAGTTATTGATAACTTTGAGTATAGCTTGCTCCTCCGTGGCTGTGTTTTGGTGAAATTAAGTGTAAATTTTTATTTTCGCGATTAGTTCGCAGAAAAAAAAATTTGTTTCCTTTATATGTTATTACATACATACATACTTGTGATTTGTGAACAAATTCATGTGTTCATTTAAAATCAGGGATAATAAATGTTGCCTAAACTAATCTGATAAATTATATGTATTCACATCATCATCATGAGCCTTTAATAGTCCACTGCTAGACATAGGCCTCTCCTTAGAAAGGAGAATAAAAAAGTAAAGTACTAATCTTTGTTTTATTAAAATACTCTATAGATTAATTTTAGCCTTTTATGCACAAGTACACTGTGTTTCTCGATAGTGATTCTGTTTAGATGTTTTACAAAAATATTATTTTTCCTATTATTGTGGAACAAAAATTGTACTTGTGCATAAAATGCTTGATCCAAAGAATAAAATCAAAAATGCACTGCAGTTTAAACTAGCCCCCCTCCCCCTAGATTCTCTCTCTCTAGTTTTCGCAGGCGGTATATAGATGGCGCTGATCGCTAAGGAAAAATTTCCTCGTAAAATTTGAATGAAGTCGACATTCTTCTCCTTGAGTAAAAGTGTTCTGTGGTACAGGCACTATCTATAAACTAATTGCGTTGCTTGTAATGTGACGCTGCTGTCTCGCTCTGTGTGTGTGTATTCTATGGACGATGTTACCCACACGGTTGTTTGTTTACAAGTAATGTGTCTATCTGTAGGTGCGTCGTCTGTTGATTCCATCAAACTGCTTCAATTTGCCTTCGGCATATTACACACTTAAAAAACACGTTGTGTAAGCCGCGAGCGATGTAAACGGCGAAATCTAACAATTGCTAGCGATATATTATACATGGTTTTTCATTTTGAATACGTATCATTAATGAACTGTACAATTTATGTTTTGAAAACTGATATACAGCCTAAATATTAAAAATATTCTAATATAATGCATATTTAAAGGCAATAGCTGTACAATGGAATCTAAAAACTGCGTAGTAAAGCTACAGGATCTATAATACCCTCCAGATATACTTTAGGCTGTTTAATATTTATCACCATTTTTGAATAAACAAAAACAAAACATAATACAAATCCAACGATATTTGACAATAGCTACAGCTGCTATCGTAATTTTATAGCTAAAATAATGAGTGTATTCTAATATTATGCAGTATTTTCAAGCATATTATATTATTCTAACCTTAAAACCATAAACTTACTTACCCGTTTTAGTTATATTTTTTAATTAATCTTGATTATATTGCGGGCGCGTGAATATTTTGACACAAAACTATACACAATTTCACAACAAGATTCGACATGCCGATTTACGGCTGACTAACTGAAGTTAACATCGCAAAAGTGAAGGAAATAGTGACTGAAAATCCTCATTCAACTTTGAGAGAGATAGCCGCCGAACTTTCTGTATCTCACGAGTCGATCCGTACCATTTTAACTAATCATTTGGGTATGAAACATGTTACCGCTCGGCTCGTCAATAAAAAAAAAAAGACCTGAATTTTTTCCAAAAACTCAATCGCATGAGAGTCGGTGAGGACATGCTAGAACGAGTCAATTCTGATCTACTATTCATGAAACGCATTGTTACTGTTGACGAGGCGCCTTTCAACTGAATCGAAACCGAAAAAACCACGCTAAAGTCGATCAAAAGTCAGTCATGTTGACGGAATTCTTGCCGGTAGGTCAACCGTTAAGTAAAAAACATTATTTGAGCGTTATGCGGCATATAAGAGAGCAAATTCGACGAAAAAGGCCAGATTTGTGGAAAGAAAATTCTTGGATTTTGCACCACGATAATGCGCCTTCGCACAAGGCCATAATTGTGAACGAATTTTTGACCAAACACTTAACAAATACCATCGAGCAATCACCATATTCACCAGATATGGCTCCAGCCGACTTCTTTCTTTTTCCTAAACTTGAATTATCACTTCGTGGCACCCGTTTTCAATCGGTAGAAGACATAAAGGAGAATTCGTTGCGAGAACTGAACTCAATTTCGGAAACAGCGTTTAAAAAATGTTTTGATGATTGGATTATTCGTTGGCCTAAGTGTATCGTTTCTGAAGGTGATAAAATACATACTTTGAAGGTGATAAAATAAATTTGGACGAATAACAAACATTTTGTGTGTATTATTGATCTTTTCCTAGTACTTTCTTGACAGAGTAGTATATTTTCAGGCTCTAAGAAGAATCATAATGTAAAACAACGAGGCTAGTGCAGAGCACACACCGCCTGTCAGTATGGCCGTAGTGGTCGGGAACTACAACTAACTTACTATGTAAATCTAATTTGATTGATTTAAATCAGAGTCTAATTGATAACGATTTTGATTACTCTGAATTGTTAGTTAAAAATAACATGAAGAATCATGTTATCTAAAAACAAAAACAAAAAACATCACAACCTAATAACTTGTAAACACATGCGCAAGCAATGCGTCCTATAAAGATGAGCTGCAATTTTGAATGCCCGGTCGTTCTCGCCTCTTCGAGGGTTGAAATCGACAAATCTTTGAGAATTAAAAATGATGAGTCTTTAAGAAATTATTTATTTACTTACATATATGACGGATTTGCAGGAGTGCTTTCAGTATTGATGCAATCATAGTCTCATTCGGGATATGCGATAGATTTGCAATAAACAGGGGTAACATTTCACTACAGTAATATTACATAGGCGTGTGTCGTGGGTAGATTTAAATAATTTTTGAGAATTGGGTTCGACGAGACTTCGAGAGTTACAAACGAGTCCTCGAGAGTTACAAACGAGTCTTCAAGAGTTACAAACTAGTCTTCGAGAGTTACAAACGAGTCTTCGAGAGTTACAAAGTAGCCTTCGAGAATTACAAACTAGTCTAAGAGAGTTACAAACTAGTATTCGAGGAATAAAAGCGACGAGTCTTCTAGGGTGCCAGATCCAAGGAGCCTAATTAACGTTCTTACAGACAACCACAGATCCAGGGCCTCAATTTTGCTATATTATGTTCACGCCGAGCCACTGTCATACCACTGACACGCTATTCAAGATGCCATCGAGTAGCCATTGACATCGGTATACACATCGGTAGTCTACACTGACTCAGTGTCTTTACAGTGGCAATGGAATGGCAGTGGCTCATCAGTGGTGATATCAAAAAGATTGCCATATTTGAAAAATTAATAAATCATTTTCTTATAATTTGGAAATGTATTACGTTTTTTTTTAAATTTGGGTCCATAAAGATGTTATGGATTTATCATAATTATTGATACCAATGTATAAACTACAACGACATAATAAATTTGTAAGTGCTATTGCCAAACGAAAAAAGTGGCACTGATTTATCTATCATTGAAAGAACGGACCAGCAAAATTAAAATGTTTTCTAAAGAAATAGTAAGTACTTACTTTCGTATTTTTTAAATGTTATAGACTAAATAAAATTGTATTATCTATTTCTGCAAACAAATTACAGAAGTAATTTAACACAATATTAATAAAATTATGGTTTAACACTACATAGGTGCATCATTGTCTTTACTTTGAATTATTATAATTCAAACTCCTAAATTCGCAGCAGAAATGGCAACTGAAGTACAATTAGACGCGTTTGATGTTCCTGGTTCAAGGAAGGATGTAGTCTGGCGAAGCTTTTATGCACGGAGTGCGCAAATATATGGTATTTCGCTAGACTGCACAAAGTAGAGAGTGGTGAGAATTAATTTACATAAAAAAAATATTCTATTCTTCTAGGCACC